TGTGTGTGTGCGCGCGCACACACACACACACACACACACACAGAGTCTGGAGCCCCAGCAACCCTCACCTAGAGGGTGAGGAAAGAAAGAGCTAGAGAGTGGGCTGGTGGGGGTGTCCAAGAATAAAGGAGTGAGATCCAGCCCCTGCCCTGGAAGTGTTCAAGGTGAGAAGAGAGTTTGAACAAGACCCTGAGGGGCTACCTGCCTTTCACTCAATCCCAGGCCTGTCCCACTGGGTTCCAGAATCCCAGAAGGAGCAGATGTGAAATGGGTCTTAACTCTGAAGCAGTAACACAAGGTTAAGAGTTTGGGACTGTGGAGCCAAGACCACCCAGGCTCAAAACTACTGGGTTCAAACGCCATTTCCACCAGTGGATTCTGCAGGCTCTATGACCTGAGTCAAATCCCTGAACCTCTCCAGCCCCATAGTAATAGTACCCTCCTCATGGAGCCACGGAGAAAATGAGATGAGTACATTTTAAGCTCCATTATTATTATATCCCCATCATACAGATGGGACAACTGAGGCCCATAGGGGAAAGGGTAGCAGTTTTCCAATCAGTAAGCAGGCATCCCGAGTGATAACCCCAGCCCACAATGTGCTCTGCAAAGTCAGTAACCCCAGGCTCCTCTGTGGGGCCCAGCCAAAAACCCCTCAGGGTGCACTGAGATCCTGCCCCAGTAAACTCAGGCCACCTGGAGCATGTGAGGAAAGAGCCACAGCTCCGCGTCCTCGGTTGCTCCTAGGAAGGAGCTCAGAGGACTATTCCCTTCCACTGCCATTTATAGACATCCTTCCCAAGCTTGGGATGCACCGCCCCCTCCAGGCCCCAGCCAAGGAGAAGTCTGGCAACAGAGCCTACAGGAGCCATGGGGGACAAGGGAGACTGGCTTTTCTCATTAACTTGCTGTGTGACCTTGGGCAAATCGTACACCCTCTCTGGACCTCGGATATCCCTCTGCATTTGAACTCCATGCGGTAAAGGGAGTTAAGAATCCCAAGTCCCACAGCCTGGGTCTGAATCTCAGCTCTACTTTTCTGGATGTGTGACCTATGTAGATTCCTTAACCTCTCTGAGTCTCAGTTTCTTCACCTGTAAAATGGACTAGTTAATAGAGATACAACAATTCCTAGTGATGTGGGGGATTCGAATAGTTACCATGTGTAAAACACATAGGTGAGAGCTTGGCACATGGCGAGTGCTCAGTAAACGGGAGCTATGATTACTATTGTGAAAGTGTTATACTCTACATAAGCCCTTCTTTCCAAGTATTTAGAATTTCCCAGCTGCTTTCACTCACCGATTCCACACCTCTCTCTGGGAGGATACAGGGCAGGAATTCTTATTCTCAGCTCACAGACGAGGAAACTGAGGGTCAGAGTTATACCTTACAGAGCTGTTTGAGCTGGGACTTGAATCTGAATCTTCAGCCTCCACAGTTTGCATTTGCCCTAGACTGGTCTCTATGCCTTCTCCAGCCCTGGGGTCTGATGTGATGGAGGCATTTTGAGAAGAGGGAGAAGTAGAGTCAGGGGGTGGTGTGGGGCACACAGTGAGGCTCAGGGCTAGCAGTGGTCGTACAACCAGCAAGTCCCCTCTCCTTACAGTTTTCTTGGCAGCCCCAATCCCAGAACCTGTCACCACCTACCCAGCCCAACCTGTAAGAAACTACTAATATGTGGCATTAAGGCTAGACAACAAGGAGAACTTTCCACACTAAGGGAAACAGGGAAGTCGGAACATCTCTTTCCCAAATGAGCCCACAGGGAATGATTATCAACTGATGATGTCACTGCCAAGCTCAGAACTATTCTGTGGCTCCTCATTGCCCTCAGGGTGCAGCAGGCACTACAGAGCCCAGCCTACATCTGCAGGGTCTGGCCAGCCTGCCTCCCCCCACCTCATCTTTCCCCCCATCCAACTAGGTGCTCTCTGTTTCTCAGATGCTCAGTAATACCTAGTGATGTCCCCTGCCCACTAGGGCCCTGAACATACCTGTCTCTTCACCCTACTTGCCTTGCTCAGCTAGCTCTTGCTTTTCCTTGTTGTCTCCCTTTACATGTCCCTTCCTCCAGGAAGTCCTCCCTGACCTCCACACCAGTGCCTACAGAGTCTCCTTGCTTTGCCTCTTCCCCGGGAACCCTGTTTAGAATTGCTCACCTGCTTGCTTGTCTGTTTCACCAATTGGCCCACATGCAGTAGCAGCTAAATACAGGGTTTCTGACATCAGGCAGGCTGAGGTCCTGTCCTGCTCTGATACTTGTTGGCCGTATGACCCTTGGGCGGGTAACTGACCGCTCTGTCTCTCCAGTCACACATCATAAAATGGAAAATAATAGTATCTACCTCGTATGGTTGTTAGGAGGAGTTTAAATGGTTTTCTGTGTAATATGTGTGCATAGTAATTACTCAATAAATATTAGCTAGTATTTATTTAATAAATAAGGCTGTGACATAGTAGATATTCAATAACCTCTCAATAAAAGAGATTTTATTTAAGAATCACTTACATAATGCTTTTTATGTGTCACGCACTGTTCTAAGTATGCTACAAATCTTAACTCATTTTACAGATCAGGAAAACTGAGGTACAGAGAAGTTAATTAACTTGTCCAACATTGTACAGCTACTAAGTAGTAGAGCCAGGATGCAAACCCAGACAGTCTGGCTCCAGTATCCTTGCTTCTTATTTTATTATTATTTTTTAAATACTTATTAAGTAATCTCAACACCCAACATGCCACCCAAACTCACAACCCTGAGATCAAGAGTCACATGCTCTTCCGACTGAGCCAGCCAGGCGCCACTCCACCCCCACCCCCACCCCTGCCAGTATCCATGCTTTTAATGAGTGAATAAATAAGCCTTTGCCTTGTGGGGAGGGGTGGCAGGGGCTTCATCTACCAAAGTTACTCAGTTCCCAACCTTGGTATCTTTCAGGTCCTGGGAGCTTCCGGTTGGCAAGCGACATCTCTGGGGTGTAACTGAGGCTGATTTGAAACCAGAGGTAAACCGACAGTCACTGGCCCCACCATGTCGCAAGTGATGTCCAGCCCCCTGCTGGCAGGAGGCCATGCAGTCAGCCTGACTCCCTGTGAAGAACCCAGGAGGGTCCTGCACCCAGCACCCAGTCCCAGCCTGCCGCCCCAGTGTCCTTACTACACCACAGAAGGCTGGGGAGCCCAGGCCCTGATGGCCCCTACACCCAACAAGGGGCCCCCCAGCAGGCTCCAGCAAGGCCCACAGACTGGGGCCAAAGCCAGCTGCCTCCTACAGTCCCCTGCTGAGCAGGCCTCAGGGGCCCTGGAGGACCTTGACTCCTACATTGACTTCTCACTGGAGAGCCTCAACCAGATGATTCTGGAACTGGACCCCACCTTCCAGCTGCTCCCCCCAGGAGCTGGTACGCCCTGGGCCGAACCTACCCAGAGCATTACCACAAAGAAAAAGAAAGACGAGCCTGAAGCCTTGGGTAAGGACGTGGGGCACAGTGCCAGAAGGGGGGACCAGACCTCATGAGGAAGAAGGACTTTTTCCAACAAATCAGAGGAGCAGGAGACTATGTCCTATTGGGAGGTGCTGGGCAGCCCTAAACAAGTTACCTAGCCTCTGTTTTCTCTCCTGTATAAAGGAGATAAATACAAGTTTCCCTCACTATCCAATTCTATTTTATTACTGAGTTTGGAAAGGTGATGGATACCTGTTTTATGCGATTTTTCAGACTTTAAATAAGCTACTATATATAAGAATTTCACACAATGCCATGCAGTAAATAAGAGCTTGATAAATGTGGAATCCCTGAACCTCACTGTTCTATGGTATATCTCTTGAGGTCCTAACCCCGGTCCCCTGAAACTCTTGTAGGATTGCTCTCTGGGCCCCTGTTGCTGTTTAGGGGAGTATCTCTCTGGGGAGTCCCAAGCTGGAAGTAGAGTCACAGAGGTCAGTCTACTTAGGGCAGAACCCTGCTGTGTCTCAGGGGTGGTGTGCTGGTAAATGTCTAACACCTAGCTCCACGATGGGATGGGAGAGAGCCCTGATTTGAAACATCTGCCACCAGGACCGATTTCAAACTATCAACATGATGTCACTGAATGTAGCACTGGAAAGACATGCCTGTACAAGGCCGTTATTGTATTTATAGTATTTCTATTATACAATACAATAGATATTAATAACCTCAAGAATATAGATGATAGTGGAGTGCCTGGCTGGCTCAGTCAGAAGAGCATGTGACTCGTGATCTCAGGGTCGTGAATCTGAGCCCTACGTTGGGCGTAGAGATTACTTAAATAAACAAAACTTTTTAAAAATAGAGTTTAGATTATAGTAAAATAGTTGGAATGTGGTGAGTTGTATTTATTACTTTTGTTTTTATCATAAGTTATTTCGTTGTAAGTTTGCATGATTAAAAAAATGTTTAATGTTTATTTATATTTTGAGAAAGAGAGAGACAGTGCAAGCGGGGGAGGGGCAGGCAGAGAGGGAGACACAGAATCCGAATGAGGCTCCAGGCTCTGAGGTGTCAGCACAGAGCACGACGCGGGGCTCCAACCCATGAGATCATGACCTGAGCCGAAGTCGGATGCCCAACCGACTGAGCCACCCAGGCGCCCCTATATAATTTGATTTTTAATCATGTCTAAGTTTAGAACTCAGCTGGACAAAATCTGAAAAATTTAACAATCAGCTCCCATGGACTGGTACAACTAACTTCAATATACCACCACATCTAAGGAATTCTAGAAATCCCTACATCTGGTGTCCGTTTCCCCAACAAAGAGTTTCAAGTATACTCTGAGGATAAGGATCAAGACGCAGCAGCCCCATTAGATAGGCCAGAAGACTGAGATCTCCAGGGCGGTAAACATGGATTAAGGGGTACAATTAGGATTAGAGATAGGGTCCATAAGAATTTCTACTTATTGAACACTTATTATGTCCAAGCACTGTGCTGAGCCCCTTACAGGAGAACATTTAATCCTCCCAATCTATTCCCATGAAATATTTTCTGCCCATTTTACAGATGAAAAAACTGAGGCTGATGGACTTCAGTAAGGAGCCAGTCCAGCCTAATCACTGGAGGTGGACAAACCTTATACAAGCTATTGACTTCACTTCTTTGTCTCCTACTCCTCGTCTGTAAAACAGAGACGAGTTCTTACCTCAAAGGGGGTCGCAGGGATTAAAAGAAATAACACTTGTTGAGGGTTTATCACAAATCCTGGCACACTGTTAGTCATTATGAATGACAGCTGGGTTTTTTCTTAATTTTTTTTAACATTTATTCATTTTTGAGAGTGAGAGAGACAGAGCATGAGCGGGGGAGGGGCAGAGAGAGAGGGAGACACAGAATCAGAAACAGGATCCAGGCTCCAAGCTGTCAGCACAGGGCCCGACGCGGGGCTCGAACTCACAGACTGCGAGATCATGACCTGAGCCGAAGTTGGTTGCTCAACTGACTGAGCCACCCAGGCACCCCACAGCTGTTTTAATTAAACACTGGGGTTGCATTTAGGACCAGCCCCAGGATAGGTTCAGGGTCTGGGGCGGAGGTGAGCCCAGCACCCAGGTCCTCTGGCGCCCGAGTTCCCAGCCTCCAGCCTGCCTCCTCCCCCTCCCATTGAGCATTGCCGACCAAGGCTGTTATAAGAACCACCTCTATGCCCCCAAGATCTTCCTGCTTCTGGAGGCCAGTCACAGGCATGTCTCTGCAGGGAAGGTCACTTGGGTCTAATTACCATTGGCAGGAGCAAGCCCAGGGCTTTAATGTTCATGCCCGAAGGCAGGGGTTCCACACATTCAAGGCCAGCTGGGGCAAGACCAGTCTCTGTGGAGCATCCACATGTATGGGGTGGGGACGCTGACAACCAGGCCCTTTCTCCAGGGGCCAAAGGTCAGTAGTCTGGAAGCTCAGATGCTCTGAGCTATGTCCACCTGACTCTGGGTAGCAGAGGGGTTTGGGGAATGAGTGGGCAGCCAACAGTGGTCATAGGGTCCTGATGAAGCCCCCCAGCTCTGCCCTAGCCTCTTGTGATGGAATAAGAAAATACTCTCTCTAACCTCCACCTGAATGGCAGTGATGCCTGGGAGCTCACTACCTCCTGAGAGAGCCAGCATAGTCAGCTCCCAGTTAGACTGTGATCACTAATAGCACATCACTGTGATGGGTGGCACCTGTCTCATGCATCTCCACCTGCCGAAACCCTCACCTCAGACCACCACTCCTGGTGACAGCAATTGCCAGCCCATGGCAGCATAGCTAATTCTGGGCACAGTGGTGAGTTCTCATTGGGCCAAAGGTATCCAAATGTGTGGGATGCCCCACCTTTGCCTCTCATCCCTCCTTCTCTTGGGGTGTCAAGGGGAATTGTGGTGCTAGCGGATGTTTACTGTTTCTCTTTGTCCTCACTTGGCAAAATTAGACATTAAGCGTCGGCGATCCTATGCTTCTCCCTTCCCTAAATGTACATAGATTTTGTAGTGCATGATCTCAGCATCGACCCTGTGAAGGAAATAGTGGCAGGCTCATTTCACAAATGAGAAAATGAGGCTCAGGGAGAAGAAGAAGTAATGACCCATGGTCACACAGCCAGTGAGTCATAGGCCAGGCCTCAAAGCCCAGGCTTCTGGCCTCCAGAGTCTGTGTTCTTGCCTTTCTCTCTTTGGTGCTAGTTTCCTGCCCTCCAGAGCTTTGAAGAACAAATCTGTTTGGAGGCAGCCTGAGGGCTCCTCTTCTGGGTTCCACCTCCCCCCAGTACTCACACACCTCCCCCAGCTCCTCTGCCCCTGCCCCTTCCTTCAGACTTACCCTGGGTGGGGGTGGGGGGGTGTGGGGCATCCCACCAGGAGGATGGCTTCTCCAAGCAAACACCATATCCATCTCCAACACCCCTCCCCATCTTTGGAACAGGAGCCCACATTTCATTTTCCAGCAATTTCTGCCAGGCAAGGCTGTTTGCCAATCCCAAGTGAAGGGTGTTTAATAACTATCTCTCTGCCCCCCACCCACATGCCCCCTTCCACCAGCCCAGCTTGGTGCTGGCGCCTGCATCCACCCAGCACTGCTCAGACTTGCCCCACAGGCCTGTAAACAGCGGCTGCACCCTGGGGAGGGTGTGGGGGCCTCCACTCCCCCAGCCACATGCACCTCAGGGCAGCAGGGAGAGGTGACTCACAGCTCCAGGACTCCTTCAGTCCTCCCTTCCCAACCCTACTCTGCAGTCCCCAAGAAAGGCCTTTGGTTGGTGTTTGGATGACCCAGTGAGTAGGAAGCTCAGAGCTTCACCAGGCCAAGAGACCCTCTCCAAAGCAGCCAAGGACTTCTCACAAGGACCAGGCCTTGGGAAAGTGTCCTGAGGAGCCCCTCCTCCTGGAAGGGGCCCCCGAAAATGAGCACAGGAGCAGGAGTCGGATTCCTCCGCTCCCTGGCTGTGTGGCATTGGATAACTCACTCAACCTTTCTGAGCCTTGATTTCTCATCTGTTATATGGAATAACATTTTTTACTTCAACGGAGTTGTTGTGAGGATTAAATGAGCCAATACAGGTAATGTGTTTGCAACAGCGCTGGCACACAGCACTCAATAAATACCAGCCTTCATTAAAAAATTATGCAATAAATGCCAGTTCCATTGCCACATTTCTCTGAGCCTCAGTTTCCTCCTCTGTAAAAGCAATGGCTGCTGGCATTGAGCATAAGGGCCGAGAGGATTACGGGTATAAGCACTATAAAGTCCTATAAAAATAGAAGTTGTGCTTGCCAACCTTCTGGAAGAATCCACCCCATTCCAAGACCTCTACTTTTTCAGAACCCACAATACATGTGCCAAATCGTCTTCTCTTGCCCTCAGCAGTAGGACTCCCACTTTAGCTGGACAGTGTCAGCCATCTGACCAATACTGGTCTCAAAAAGCAGGCACTCGGGAGAAGTTCCCTGAAGCCTACCATGCGCCAAGCTCCAGGCATCGTTCATCAATGTATTTTATCCTTACCAAAATCTCAGGAGGTTGGTTTTAGATCCCCACTTTGCAGATGAGGAAACTGAGGCTCACAGTGGTTAGGAATGTTACCTGATGCCTCTTGGCGGGAAAGTGGCAAAGCCAGGATTCACACCCAGGTTTATCTGACGACAAAGCCAGGCCTGTTCCTCTACCCCTTGGAACAGCATGCTCAGGTCAGCCTCCCAGCCCCCCTCATCTGATGTAATCCTCCACCTCCACCCCAGCCCAAAGCAGGCTCAGACAGAGGCAGTAACCGCCAGCAGGCTCAGAGGTCCTACCCGGGAGCGGGCTGGGGCAGGCAGGGATTCCACAGTCATGGTGGGCGGGAGTTGATGCATGTGCCAAAGCCCAAGGGGGTGGGAGGCCGGCAGACAGGAGCTGAAGGTGCAGTTTCCCGCTGACTTTGCCCCAGTTTCCATCCTGGGAAGCCGGAGGCAGGACTCAACAGGCCTGCAGGAGGGAGCAGCTAGGTAGCCCCCCTCCCCCCCCACACACACACCTTCCACCACCTTTGCTGGAACAGCACCAAGGACAGTTCCCTTCCCCCAGGTCAGGACCAGGGGTGTCCATACTCACCCTGGAGAAAACCACCCATTGCCCCACTCCAGGGAGGAGCAATTTCTCAGAACAAGAGTCCTGGATGCCCCCATTGGGAAAAGGAAAGAGCACTGGAGTGAGCCACCACCCTGGGGCATGTTTAATATCCAACAACTGTGCACCAGCTACAAGCATGACCTGGGAGGTCCACAGCTTGATAATGTAGCAAACCCTACCTTCTGGGAGCTCCTGCTCTAAAGCGGACTTCTCAAAACTCTAAAGTGCACTCAGATTCCAGGGAGTCTTGCTAAAATGCAGACTCTGATTCAGCAGGCTTGCAGTGGAAACAGATTATACGAATCTTACCAGCTCCCAGGTAAAGTGGTGGTGCTGGGCTGGGCTGGGGGCCACAGTGGTGTGGCTTGGTGCACATTGGAACCAGCTGGGGGACTAAACAAACAACCTGAGGTGTGGGTTTATACCAAATATTCTGATCTATTTGGCACAAGGTGTAGCCTTGGGCATTAGGACTTTTAAAAGCTCATCAGATGAGTCTAATGTGCCACCAAGCTTGAGACCCCCTGCCTTCATTGTAGACACAGATGTAGAAACACCCTTCAAACACCCTGACCAATGGAGGCATCAGAAAATGTGACTGGCACACTCCAAAAAGCAGTCATTTCAACCTGGGGAGGGGGACATTCACTCAGGAAAAGATTCCCTAGTTTAAAAGATTTATGTGCCAAGAACAGTGCTATGTCTCCATCTTGTCTCATCCTTACTGTAACACAAAGAGGCTGGGTATAGTCACCCCATTTTACAGGTGTGGAAGCCAAGGTTCTAGTTGCTGAAGTCCTTTGGCCAAGTTCTGTGATAGTAAGTGGCAGAGTCAGATCTGAAACCCAGGTCTGTCAGATTCCAAGACCTGTGTTCATTCCACTGCATCTCCACATGAAAGGAAGATATCACAAAGAGGGTGACTTTGAAACAGTGCCTAGAAGGTGGAGCTGGGTGCTAATCCTAATCCAGCAAACTCCTCCTCCCTGAGCCTGTTTCTACATCGGTCTAAAAGAGGAGAGACCAGATGGGCTTGAGGACTCTTCCAGCATTCCTGTTCTGTGAATACAGGCTCCCAGGTTTCATCGATGCTCTGCTCTCTCCCCAGACATAAAGTACATCGAGGTGACCTCCACCAGATCAAGGTGCCATGATGGCCCCCAGCGCTGCTCCAGCCCATCTGTCACTCCACCCTTCGGCTCCCCGCGCAGTGGTGGTCTCCTCCTTTCCAGAGACATCCCTCGAGAAACTCGAAGCAGCAGCGAGAGCCTCATCTTCTCTGGGAGCCAGGGCAGGGGGCACCAGCGCCCCCCTCCCCACTGTGGGGCTCCCTCCTCTCATTCCCCACCCTCTCCCAGCATCTCCATCCCCTGCATGGGGAACAAGACGTCAGGCCCCCATGGCTTGGGCTCTCCACTGGTGGCTTCTCCAGGCTTGGAGAAGGGGCTGGGGGGCCTGGCCCCACAGCGGGGCAGCAGGGTCTCTGTATTGTCAGCCAGCCCAGCATCTGACATCAGCTATGTGTTTGGAAGGTAGGTCACTCCCATCATAGCTTCTGATATTGCCTCCACAACACACACACACACACACACACACACACACAGATCCTAAAATAGATGGGCACCCTGCTCTATCTGAGCAAAATCAGGATGTGTACCAAAAACATGAGTGAATATTCTCTTTTATGCCATCACAGCCATTTGGACCTCAAGCTTTCCTCAAGCATTTAGAACATAACTCAATATACAAAGATTTTTATTCATGCCTACCTCTTGGGAAAAGAACTGATGAGGCTTACCTTCATCCTTTTCCAGCATTCATACAACCCATCTCAAGGAAGAGAGCTCTTTTTTCAACCTCAAAACACAAGGGCATAAATAAAATTTGGGGGCTTAGGGAAAACCATTTAGGAAAGGAAAGCCTCCCTCCTCTTTATTGCTAGCAAGACCTAGGAGGAGGGAGGCCAACCTGCCTGAGCATTATTCCTAATTGCCACAGCCCCGTGTGCAGGCCTCACAGTGGAGCTGCACACACAGACACCCTGCCCAGGAGGACCAAACTGCAGGACCTCTGTCCCCCACACCAACTCCAAAGCTGCTGTGCCAAGGCAGTAGTTGGCAAGGAGGTTGGGATTCCACAGCCATGGCCGTTGGCATGGGCCTCTGAGCTCAGAGAGAAGTCTGGCTGGATGCAGAGCTGGCCCCCTCCTCTTCCTCCAGCTGGGGAGCTCCCTCTGCATCCACCATAGACACGGTCCGGCCTGGGTCCAGCCTGCGTGCAAAGCTCTTGGGAGTATTGGGGTGCTTGTGTGATAGCTGTCAGAACTTCCTGGCTGGGAAGGCAGAGGGAATCCGGTCCAGCCCAAGCCCACATGTCCTGCAAGGAATCAGCTCATTGGCTACTTTAAGTGACCAAAGACTTGGCAGTACAGAGATATTTCTGTACCCTTCAGCATCCCTTGGGGATCAGGTGGGCATGTACTTTGTCCTGGGCTATGGGGAATGGAGTATACAATACTCTGTTTAACCAGAACTCTAGGCCCCGAGTGTCCACTCTGACATCCTAACACCCTGCCTGTCTGGTGCCCTCCCTGCAGCAGCCAGTCCCTCCTCCACTCCAGCATCTCCAGCCATCAGTCATCTTCTAGGTCCTTGGAAAGCCCAGCCAGCTCTTCCTCCAGTCTCCACAGCCTTGGCCAAATGTCTCTGTGCACGAAAGCCAGTGACTTCCAGGTCCCCAGCAACCCCACTGCAGGCATGGGCCAGCCCAGAGCAACCCACTCCCCACCACTGGCCAAGGAGCATGCCAGCAGCTGCCCGCCCTCCATCACCAACTCCATGGTGGACATACCCATCGTGCTGATCAACGGCTGCCCAGAACCAGGGTCTCCTCCATCCCAGCCGACCCCAGGACACCAGGACTTTGTCCGACCTGGGGCCACTTCTTCCGGCCACTCCTGTCCGGCCACCAGGAGCCACAGCCAGACCCTGCCAGACGCCCCTCTTACCACATCCTCGGAGGGTATGTTGTAAATCAATACTTAAACCGTTGTGAAGTTTGGCTTGGGGGAATAGATAAAACATCAGTGGGTTTCTGCAATAGCAAGTCAACACGCTGAATACCTACTGTGTGCCAAGCACTTTGCCAAGTAGTAGGGACAGAGAGATGGCCACAGTCTAGAAGGAGATACAAAAGCCAAGGAATCCGTGTAGAGTAGAGTAGGATAAACACAGAAGTAAAGAGATGTCCTAAGTCTTGGGGGGGTCACAGAGGGAGGAGTGATCCTTTTAGTCTGAAAAACTGGGAAAGCTCCTCAGAGGACGTGACATCTGAGCTGAATCTGGAAAGTGGATGGAGTCTGTAGCCAGAGCAGGAGAGGAGGGGCATTCCCAGCAGAGGGAACAGCGAGTCCACAGTCATGAAGGTGTAGAAGCACATGCATGTTTAGGAAATGACTGCAGTGTTGGGTGTGGGGTCAAGTCATTGAGTCATCTGGGGCCAGATTGGGAAAGGCCTTGAACCCCAGGCTAGAGCGGATTTTACCCGTTAGGCCACGGGGACCTTAGCAGAGCGTCTCAATCGAGAGAGTGATGGGGTCGGAGGTGCACGTTTGATAGATCACTCTGGCAGAGGAGCTGTAGGGAGAACTGTTTTGTTTTGGTTTTCATCACGAAGTGGTCCAGACAAGCTATAATGGGGGCCTGAACCAGGGCAGGGCAGGGCAGTGGAGGAGAGGGGACGGAGCCAAGAGACCCTCGGGATATGAAAACAGCAGGCTTGATGACTAACCCACAAGAGGGAGAGGGAGAAGGAGAGTCAGTCCTACCTCTGACGTTCATGGATGACGAGCACACAGAGGGCTGACCGAGACAATGCATTCCAATTCAGACAGCTAAAAACCACAAAACAGCAAACACCCTCCTTCCCGTAGTCTGTGACTACAGGCATCCAAAAAGAACAAAACCAGCCAGAACCCAAAGCAGGAAACACAGAGGCCCAGCCTTAGCACCCACGGGGTACATCTCTCCAGAGTAAAGCTCTTGCACAGCCCCCGGGGACACTGTCCCTGCTCTGGCCTCATTCAGTCACCTCCTTCCTGAGGCTTCTCAGCCCTCACTCAGCCACAAGCATCAGGGTGACTCCTGGGGGGTGTGATGTTCACTCTGGCCCACGCTGCCATTCAGGAAGCCATGTCAATGTAAGCAAGAGAAAATGGTATGACGGGTGTGCTTTGAATCTGCTCTGATCGTTTTCCCAGGGCAAATCGTTTGCAGATTTTAGTACATCTTTTTTTATAATGAGTTGCTCTCAACTGGCCATAACACACCTTTTTAAGATGCCAAAATTGAGAACCACAGCTCTCTGTCTTAGGGGACCTGGGAAAATGGCCATTCTGTCATTTCAAAAAGCACATTTACTTAGCCTGGTAATATTCCCATCCTGGTTTGGTGATGCCCCAGGATATCACTAATTATACCCTGGAACCTTATCAAATTCTGCAAACCATTCTCAAAACAAAATCCATGCTAATCGCCTAGGCTATTGGAGTATTAAAGACCCTGAGAGGCTGGTTAGTACATTCGGTCCTCTCTGGGCTTCAGGAGCAAAACAACTGTCCCAAATCAGAGTCAGGAATCCTGTCTCCTGACTTCTTCTGCACAGGCTCATCGGCCCAGATCTGCTGCTTTCTTTTCCTCAACCTTTTCTTTCAATTTCTTTTCCAACCCCCCCCCCCCCAAGACACTTGTAGGATTCTTAAGGAGGAAGAGAGGGTAAAATCAAACAGATGATGCATCTCAGAATCTCTTATTTATCCCTTCTTTCGGTCCACACCAGACAACACTAGATTTGAGAAACTGTTTCTCATTAAACTGAGATTTTTATCTGTTTGTGATTCATTACCAAGGATACAAGGGGAGACTCCTAAGTCCTACATGTGCCAAGCCCTGGAATTCTTCTGTTGGATTTTGCCTCTTGCAGGACGTTGGAGATACAATGGGGTTGGGGTAGGGTGGGGCGGGTTGAACGGGACCACTGCACAGAGGAGGGGGGAGGGTCTCTCAGCTCCCTTCTGTCCAGCCTACAGGGTCCACCCTCTCTGTCTCCAGGTCCCCCCAGGGACATGCAGCCCACGATGAAGTTTGTGATGGACACATCTAAATACTGGTTTAAGCCAAGCATCACCCGGGAACAAGGTAAAAGGAAGCACTGTGTTTCAACGGATGAGTGACCCAAGAGGCTGGGTTCCCCACCTTGTATCAGGCATATGGGGCCCTGGGTCATGTTAGGGGAGGGAAAGACAAATGGTAGGTCCAGGGAAGGGGGTTATCCTGTGAATCTCTTGTCTCAAGGAAATAGAGACTGCAGCAGGAAGGGTAGAGATTAGATAATAGAAAGGACTTCCTGGGAACAAAAAGTGATTCTGTAATGTCTGCTCTATGAAGACCTAAGGGGGCTGGGGGACAGAGGGTGTCCAGAAGAGAGGGAGGAGGGTGCGGTTAACTGTCTCTGACCCAAGGATTGTTCCAGCAATCGAGCTGCTGAGGAAGGAGGAGCCAGGGGCTTTCGTCGTGAGGGACAGTTCTTCCTACCGAGGTTCCTTCGGCCTTGCCTTGAAGGTGCATGAGGCTCCTGCACCTGCCCAGAACCGATCAGGTACACACCGGTCTCTGTCCTCACTCAAGACCTCGCAGACGCAATGGAGTGTGGTAGGCTTTAGTCCCAGCTCTGCTGCTGCCTTGCAGCAGGCCTGTAATGACAGCTGGGAGGACGGTCCACCTCAGGGCTCTCCCAGCTGCCTTCCTGCAGGGGGACTCTAGAAGGAGCTCCTTCCACGGCAAGCCTAAGCTGCTTCTGCCTCCCGGAGTCCCCAGATTCCCCGCTCTGCTCTCCTGGGGGGCCAAAGAGGAAGTTCCCAGCCCCTCTCCAGGATCCTCTCCTCTGGGCGCCCACCTCTGTCCAGACCAGATTTATTGTGAAGGAACCTAAGGTAGTCATAATGTGTGTGCCCTAGCTTATGATATGTGTGTGACAGTTTATCACATGTGATAGCTTATCACACGCTTTCCCGTGGCCTCACACACAACACACACAGCTGTGGGGCATCCACCCTACACCAGGATACGCTGGGAAGACAGATAAAGACAGATCATATCATTATAGTACAAGGTACCTAAGTACCAGCCCCTCACCAAACCCCAGAATTGCAGCTCTCACGTGACGAACAGATGAGGTAAATGGGGCTCCGAGAATTAGCTGATGACCCCCCAGAGCAAGGATGAAAACCCCAAATGCATGCTCTCTACACCACGCCTCTCTGTCTAAATAAGAAAGTGACCTCTGGGTGGCGTTGGTTGTCAACGAGCCTTGCCAGCGAGCACAGAGAGGAGGAAGCCAGGGGCTGGTGAGAACAAGCAGACGGACATTGTTCACCCTCCAGGGCCAGCCTGGCGTCAGCAGGGACCGTCTGGTGGAGAATAATAGCCCCTGGGAAGGAGTGGGTAGGGGGAGAGAGAAATCAGGCTGATGCGTTAAAATCTGATTTGAGTAGTCATTGAGGACCAACCCCCGTAGCTCTTGAAACCAAGAGAAGGATCTCCTGAGAGAATTACTGGACACAGAAGCCTTTGAGCAAGGGCGTTGACACCTCCTTTGTGGGAGGCGTTGAAGACAGGGTTCTTACCAGCAGTCCCACCCAGAGCCAGGGGAATGGACAAGTTCACCTCTGGACAGACCAGGAGGAGGCAGGTCAGGGAATGAGATGGTCAGCGTTCGGCCAACACTGGACTCTGGAACTCCCATCCACACGCACTCTTTCTTCTTTCTTTGTCCAGGTGAGGACAACAGTGACCTCATCCGCCACTTCCTCATTGAGTCTTCTGCCAAAGGGGTGCATCTCAAAGGAGCAGATGAGGAGCCTTACTTTGGTGAGCGTCTCCGGCCTGCAGGCCCCGGGGTGGGCCCTGCCCTTCCGGGCCGGGAGGCTGGTCGGGGACAGGCCTTCTCACACAGAGCTGCCCGTCTCCTTGCAGGGAGCCTCTCTGCCTTTGTGTGCCAGCATTCCATCATGGCCCTGGCCCTGCCCTGCAAACTCACCATCCCGCAGAAAGGTGGGTGTGGGCCCCAGAGAGGCAGCATCGGGGCACTGGGCCTGTGTGTTCCTACTACAAAGGCTCCTAGTGGTCACATCTCACCTTATTTATGGATTAGTGTCACAGTTAAAAGTGCGTTGTCTAGCATCCATCCGGCATCGCCACTTCCTGGCTTGAGGAGGTTGACCTCTCTGAGCCTCTGTTTCCTCCTCTACAAAATGGGGACAGCCGTCATCATACCACAACTGTGTCAAATAGGTGTTATCCTCATTTCACAGATAAGAAAAAGGGGGCTCAAGGGGCTGAGTAATTCACCCCAAGGTATACAGATCATACATCAAACCGAGACCAGGAAGTCCCATCCGGAGCCTACAGCCCAGTAGGCTGGTGAGCCGGACTAGACGATCTCAGGGTGTGCAGGAGGAGCAGCAGGGCGGTTCTGGGAGAGGAGTCGGGGCAGGGGAAGCTGCCAGTGTGGTGATGTGGAGGGCCTCCCTACTTTCTGAAAAGAAAGGCCTGGGTTTAGGAAGGGCCTGAAAGAAGGGAGGAGGTCAGAGGCTCCTGAGGGTCAGGTGATTACAGCAGATCCAGGGGCTGGAGGAGTGAGGAGGAAAAGGAGGGATCAAAAGACTTGCAAGCTAGGCATCTGGGGAGCCCCAAGTGGCCCCGTTTGTCCGATTACGGTAATCACTCCAGGTTCCTCAGCGGCTTGCTTCCTGAAGGTGGGGGCGGAGGTGGGAGAGGTTCAAAGGGATTAATGTTCCTAAGAGAAGGGTCCGTTCACTCCGCCCCCGCCCCCTCCGGGGCCTGTTCTTTGCTTTGGCTCAGAATTGGGAGGTGGAGAAGCCTCAGACCCTGCTACAGGCAGCCGGGCCTCCTGCCTAAAGAAATCCGCAGGTGAGTGGCATGGAGGAGGCTCCAGTCTTGGCTATGCCCCCGCGGGCACCTCCCAGCCCCACACTCACTCACATGGGCATGCAGGCCCGCACGCGTTCCCATCACAGCTTTATTTCTTCATCCTTACGAAGGTGCCCCGGTTCTCCCCATCCCTGTAAACCCGGAGGTGAAAGGCCGCAGGCCTGGGGGGTGCAGGCAGTGGGCAGAAGACAGGGAGGTGGGTGAGGCTTACGCCCCATCCTGCACACATATGGGCACATGTGGACATGCCGAGGTCTCTCTGGTCCTGAGGGACCTGCCCTGGAGGTGGTCTGTGGATCTGGGATCCTCTGTGGAGTGTCAGGTCCAAGTCTTGGGGGTTTCCAAGGGGGAAAGGTCGTTCGTCTTCTCGTCCAGAGGCCAGGCACAGATCAGCCCTTGTCTGAGTGACAGCTCCTGCAACGGGCCCTTCCCCATCCTTGCCTTCTCCACCTTCTCTTGACAATGAACCAGGGCCCCAGGGTGGGTGGAGGTCGAGGCAGTGCCACCCATGCTTCTGGACAGAAGGAAGGTTTGTCTGGACATCCCTAACATAGGGCAACAGCCCCTCCTTTACTCCACCCTGAGGGCCAGAGGCCAGAGCAATGCAAAGCCACAGATGATCCCGAAGTCCCCTGGGACTGGTCCTCTGCATGGTGGATCCTGGCAGGGCCCAAGCACAGCATTTACCTTCCACAGGCTGCCATGCCCTGTACTTGACCTCCGTGAGTGTAGAGACCCTGAGCGGAGCCCTGGCCGTGCGGAAGGCCATCTCAACCACCTTTGAAAGGGACGTCCTCCCCACACCCACCGTGGTCCACTTCAAAGTCACCGATCAAGGCATCACCCTGACGGATGTCCAGAGGAAGTAAGGGACTTCCTTTGCCCTGGGGCTGCTGGGCTGGGCAGGGGGAAGTGGAGGGGATGGCTGAGACGGCCATGGATCAGTGATGAAAGTAAGATTCAGGATCATGGACCCAACGTGGTCAGTGACTTGCTGAGTGACTCCAGGCAAGTTCCCTGCCTTCTCTGAGCCTCACACCAATGACCTCCTACCAAAGTCCCCCTTCCCTATGACCAACAGAGATGGAATTAACCAGGATTCACTGGGCACTGGTTAAATCTGCATCCATTGATGGCACATCTGCAAAAGGCCAGACTCTGGCTGCCCACTGGGACACAGTGGATGAGATCACTCCTTCCCCAGGCTTAGGGCTTCGCAGTCTAGCAGGAGCCCGCTCCTGGGCTGGAGGAACAAGAGATGAGCAAGATGCCATTACGATCCTCAAGCAGTTACATGACACAGTGGGCGTGGGGTGGGGAGAGGGTAAAAAACCCCAATATGTAGGACACAAGGCAGATTCATTCCATGACTGGAAAGAAGTGCCAACGTGTGCCCCAGGGCCCAGCAGGGCAGGCTGTAAGGGTCTAGCTGGGAGGTTTCTTAGAGAGCAGGGCATGTGACTTCCGGGAGAGCTGGAGATGATGGAGGTAGGACATGGCCCTGGGATAGGCTCTCATCAGCTCTCCTTCTCTCCCTGCCTCTTCCAGGGTGTTTTTCCGGCGCCATTACCCCCTCACCACCATCCGCTTCTGTGGCATGGACCCCGAGCAACGGAAGTGAGTTCAAGGCTGGGCTGAACTCAGGAAAGCCATCCAGGGCCTAGCTGCCCACTGGGGTTTCTTGCTGACTCTGGGACTGGGATCACAGACAGAGCCTGTGAGCCTCGAGGGGCCAGGAGCAACGGGATGAGGGCAGGGTGGGACCCTGTGGGGTGTGGACGCAGTTGGCCGTGCTCCCCTCGCTGCTCAGCCAGAGTCCTGCGGAATGCAGAGAGGTCTCAGTACTCACAAATGTCCATCTTCCTTTCCCACAGGTGGCAAAAATATTGCAAGCCCTCCTGGTAAGGCCTTCCTGTGCACTGTCAGTCACCATAAGAGGTCTCCCTGGGGCAGGGCCTGGGACCCAACAGGAGAAGGGAGTTACAGAAGGAGGGAGCCCCTGTCCTGATCTTAAGAGAGCCCATGGTTTTGATGGGGTGGCACCAGCCCCAGTCCTCAGAGAGCCTCCAGTCTGAAGGAGGAGTCATGAGCCTGGGAGCCCCCAGTCTAATGTAGGAGGCACAGGGTCTAACCTCAGGGAGCTTTAATCTATAGCGATGCCCAATCTGATGGTCAAAACACATCCTTGCCCTCAGGAACCTCCCACTAGGATGAGGAATACACAGGTCCTGTCCTCAGAGCCCCCCCCCCATTCAAAATGAGGGAAACTTAGATCTTGAGGAGGAGGAGGCATATCCTATCCTCAGCGAGCTGGGGAAGGGGCAGCAGGAGAGTACTGTATTTGCTGAGATCACCTCTCCTAACCTCTCTGGGCCCCACCACCTCACTCAGCCTGTGCTCTCCCACCAGGATCTTTGGATTTGTGGCCAAGAGCCAGACAGAGTCCCAGGAGAATGTATGCCACCTGTTCGCAGAGTATGACACGGTCCAGTCGGCCTCCCAGGTCCTCAGCCTCGTGGGTACTCTGCTGCAGGACACAGAGAGGATGTAGGGGGAGGGAGCTCCCTCTGCACCTTCCCAGACATCCCATCATACACTGATGAGCCAATCTATTGGACTGGAGGAGAGAGATACCACACCTTGGTGAAACCCTTGAAACCCTGTGACCTTCATCAGTGACCTTCAGCCAGACCCCACTGTGTCTCAGTTTCCTCAACCAAATAAGGAGGCCATAGACAGGACCAGCTGTTCTCAGACTTTGGTGGGCATCTTAACAAGTTCCCTGTGATCCTGAAGCACACCCACACCTGAGGACCACATGGAAACAACCTCTGAGGACCCCGGACTCCATCAACGTGGATACTACCAACACAGCAGCTTGAGTTAGAGACGTGTGACCCTCTGTCGTGGCAAACAGCAGGTGCTGGGTCAGGACCCATGCTCCCCTAGCTCAAGGCTGACCTGGGAAAGATGGTCTGCAAGAATTGACCAAAGGAGGAATGGACTGACTCTATTTCCCTCCATATCCGTTTCTTCCACCCCCACCCCCCTGCCACTTCTGCAATTGCTTCTTGGGCAGCTGTTCCCAGGACAAAGTAGGATCTTCCTGCCCTGGATTCTTTAGGCCAATGTGGCCATGATTGTCAGGGCAGCTTAGCCAGGGGAAACTTGGCCCTATGGTCAGAGACCACCCAGCTGGCCTCACATTCCCGATGTCTAATCCCCGCACTGCAAATGAGTATCAGCCCCATCTTTTCTTTCAATTTTTTGGTTAGCAAGTGTCCTCCAGCTGTCACAACTGCCCTAATGCTCCTTATGCAACCCACAGGAGGGAGGTGGGGGCCGGGAGACAAGGGTCAGCTTTCTCTGGTTCTGCCTCAGCCCCAGTCTTGTCGAGTGTCTCCTGGTCCCCAAAACACACTCATAGAGAAACGCCGACAAGTGTGCACAGCAGTAGGGCATCAACTGGCCTTCCAGCCACACGGGGGCAGCAGAGAGTCATGAATGCAAACAGCCAGCCAACTCCAGAGGCCTGGAGAAGCTGGGCGGTCTTTCTCCCACCCCACTTCCATCAAGACTCCCAAGAAGCTGGAATAGTTTGTCTAACAGGCCTGGGGTCCTAAGAAAACCACAACATGAGGATGGAAGAGGCTCGGAGAAGAAGCCCACTTTTGTTCTACCAGGAGCAAGTGCCTGCCTCCTCCCAGCTGTGGGCCCTGCCACCGCATCATTATCATTATCTTTGGCCAAAGCAGAGCCTGACAGATTATGGTTTCAACCCAGGCAGCCAAACTGGACTGAAGCTGCCCTGGGCTGGAGGGACTGGCTGAGAGCAGCCCACCCAGCCTGTGCTCAGGCACTGCCCCATCCCTGGAGAGTACAGAACACTGGACAAGGTTCTCGAGGTCACAGTGGCCAAGTTCTCAAGGTTATATTCAGGCGGCTGGCAGAGACCCCTTTTACCCATGGGTGCCTGTGTAGTTCCCATGGAAAATAAAATTTCTGTCTTGGCATAACGGTTGGTTCTAAGGCAATCAGGGCTGCCCCCTCAGAGGTGGAGACCTACACAGAGAGGCGACCTGAGTTGGCAGGCAATGACAGTGTCCTAGAGAAGACTGCATTTGCCACACTCCCTCCTACTCCCCTGGCCACAGCAGTACAGTAGCCACTGGCTTCCCTTCATAAACCATCTCTTAAACCATTCATGTGGTGTTCACCACATTTCTGGCATACTCGGTTTTCTTCTTCACAACTCCTTGCCTACCATTATGCCAGGAAGACGGAGAGTTGAGATTTTGCCCGTGTCCCAGGGCTGAAGGTGAGTGTGTGTAGCCCCCCCGATGGATTCCAAGGTCTCATTCGGGCTCCCTGAGGGATGAGAGGCAGGTGAAACATGGGCAGCTCAAGGGGAGTCTGGAAGAGTCTCTGAACCCAGATGAGCCCCGGGCTACCAACTCAGCCCTGGAGAAATGGACAATGGCTTCATCATTTCATCCTGGGCGGGGGGGGGGGGGGGGGGGGGGGGGGGGCGTTCTACCATTAGCTTCTGCCAGTTGGCAATTGGCAGTCCAAGTCTTGCCAGATGGTACAGGAGGGGCCTCGGGAAATCCACTTTCCTAGAGACCCTTAAGAAGGGGGGCTGTTGCTTCTGTTTAGGCTGAGCTCTATGACCCAGTGGCAGGAGCTGCCCTGAAGGGTCTGTGAAGAGACTCTCCCAACGGCTTTGAAATGCCATTGAGGGGCCCTGCCTCCCCTCTCACTACCAAACTTCAATTCCAGCCTCCCGCCCCAGCAGCCCCCCTCGACCTGGCCGTGGGCTGAGTCCACTGAAGGTAATTTATCTTCTCTGCCGCATTTACCATAAAGCTCATCTTTCCTCCAGGAAGATTTAACAAAAAATTTGACTTAGACTTTTGCCGATGGGGAGAGCAGCCAGCCCAGCAAGGGTAGGAGGGTTGGTGGGCAGAGGGGAGGAAGGACAGCCACCAAGCCAGGAGTCAGGAGAGGAGGTGTCTTCACATCTCAAGAGTTCTCTGTCCAGGAGGCCCCAGGCCTTGCAGCCCTTGGTCTGAAGCCTCCCTCACCAGTGTCATTCCTCCCAACTTTCCATCCTTCCATGTCCTGCTGTCTATACACATATACCTCCTGTCCACCCCTCCCTCAATCTCCCTCCCCACGTTCTCCCTTTTCGTTCTCACCTCATTCTTTCTTGACCCACCTGCTCTCAAACCTGTCCTCTCCCTCTTTACAGAAAAACCTTCCTCTCTCCAACTTTTGTCCCATTTATTTTTTTTACTGTTTATTTATTTATTTAGAAGGGGGAGGGGCAGAGAGGGAGGGAGAGCGAGACTCCCAAGCAGGTTCTGCATTGTCAGCACAGAGCCAGACGTGGGGCTCGATCTCACGAGCCTTGAGATCATGACCTGGGCTGAAATTAAGAGTTGGACGTTTAACCAACTGAGCCACCAGGGTGCCCTCACTCTTGTCCCATTTAATTTCCTCACCCCATTGTCCCAGATGGCTGGACCCAGAGCAAAGGCCAGCTAGAGTTGATGGGAAGGGAGAGGGACAGCCACCTGCACCGCCAACCATTTTTCAAGCCTCAGATTCCCACCCTCTCCAAAGCCTGCCTCCTCTCTGGCTACAGAGTGACCTCCCCAGAAACCCGAAGCACCCTCCCGCCCTGCCACCTCATCTGTCTGCTCACCTACACACATCTGCCTGCTCACCTCTTCTCTTTCATCCTCAGCCTCCTGTCCTTAACTCTCGAGCCATCCAACAGGCTGTGGGCTTGGACCCAGGGCAGGGCTAGGAGGTGAAGGGCTCCCGACCCAGAGATCAGTGCCTTGCTTCATGCAACAAGGGTTTTCTAGCTGGAGGCTTTGTTCGTGTGAGCTAGACACACAAATCAGCGTAACAGTGTTCTAACAGAGGTTCGAAGTGCCATGCAGGGCTGGCAGGAAGTTTAGAAACAGGGAAGGTAAACCTTATCCATTTGGAGGGAATGAGGGCAATGTTGCCAAGGAGGTAACATTCAGGTTGGGTCTTCAAGGGTAAATAGGAGTTTAGCATGCAAAGCAGGGGAGAGAAACCAACTTTTATCGGGGGGCTCTTATGTGCTAAGTACAATGTGAGTCACGATGTGTATGTTCAATCTCATTTTACTGAGACTCAGAGGGTTAACTTGCCCATATTCAAGGGCAGTGGCAAGAAATAAGATTCTAAATTTGTGCCCGTTCTACGGCCTCAGCATTCTCAGACAAGCAGATGGATGAATCTACATGTGGAACACACAGGTATGAGACGATACCATATTCACCGTGGCTGAAGTATATGGTACCCAAGGGAGTAAGTGTAAGGGGAAGCAGAATCGGCAGCCAGATTATCAAGAGCCTTGGGTGCCAGGCTGAGAATGCTTAGGGCATGAATACTTATTAAATGAATGAATGAGTCAATGAATGACTGAATGAGGCTGAACTCAAGACCACTGTATGCAGTTGTAGAGGTCGTACAATGTACAATCATGCACAGCAACCTGCTTGAACTTCATCTGATGAGCGCTAGGGAGACATCAGAGGCTCTTCAGCCAAGGAGTAAGTGACCAGATTTGTGCTTTAGAAATATGGCTTGGGGGTGTGGGGGGGCAGGAGACTGGATCTGAGGGCTGGGCTGGGGAGAAGTGTGATCACAAGAGGAAGCTGTGAGAATTTGGATTTTAGGCCAGGAAAGAGATAAGAGCCTAAGGAGACAGGCTGGGGCAGGAACCTACTTGATCTAGCCCTGAGTCCTTGGTTCCTCTGACATGGAAGGGCCACATGGGAAAGAGCAGGACCAAGGCATCCCAATCCCACTGGTGTGGGTCTCTTCAGACAGCCATAACATGATACTGGGTGGCCTCAACAACAGAAACTTACTTTGTCACTGTTCTGGAACCTGAAGTACCAGCATGGTTGGATTCTGGTGAGAGCTCTCTCCCTGGCTTGCAGACAGCCACCTTCTCGTCGTTTGTGCGCATGGCCTTTCTGCAGTGTGTGCTTCTAGAGAGAGAGCTCTCTTCTTTTTTTTAAGTTCATTTATATATTTTGAGAGAGAGAGAGAGAGAGAGAGAGAGAGAGAGAGAATCCCAAGCAGGCTCCATGCTGTCAGCACAGAGCCTGACTCAGGACTCAATCCCATGCATCATGAGATCATGGCCTGAGCCGAAATCAAGAGTCGGATGCTTAAC